GGGAAGGGGCAAGACTCAGGCAGGAAGCCCATTGGGTGGATTCTGCTGTAGTTGAGGTACGATGAGATGCAGAAAGGCAATGAAACAAAGGGATATTTTAGAAGATAATGAAAACGCTACAACTCATCAATGACCCACTCTGTACCAGGCTCTTGTATTTTATTTTATTATTTAATTTTATTTATCTTATTTTATAGAGAAAGCAAGCAAACATAAGTAAGGGAGAGGGGCAAAGGGAGAAGGAGATAGAATTGCAAGCAGGCTCCATGCTCAGTGCAGAGGCTAATGTGGAACTCAATTCCTTGACCCTGGGAATATGACCTGAACTGAAATCAAGAGTTGGATGCTCAACTGACTGAGCCACCCAGGTGGCTGTACCAGGCTCTTGTATATACTGTTTCTGTTCTTTGTAACAGCCCTCAACACTGTGTTTAGCACTACCTCTCCTCATAAGGAAATGAAGGCTGCTGGATTTGTCCATAAACACAGAGCTAGTGAAGGCAGAGCCAGTGTCCCCAGCCAGGAGCACCTGGCACTAAAGCACATGCACATTCCCACGAGCTTCCCACCTCACCTGGATGCTGATCCAGTGGCCTCACTTGTACCTCTGAAAACCCCAAAGTGGCAGTGACAAAATAGATGAAGCTCTTCCAGGTGTGTGGGTCCTGAGCCAACTCACAGAAGGGTGAGAGCTCACGAAGAGGAGTGCACCTGAGAAACAGGTCTGTGGTGTCGCTTACACAGGACAACACCTGGGGGGAGGATCATCTGTCTGGTGGAGGGCAGGTGTTTGCAAATGTGACCAACCTGACACTGAGTGGTCTCGGCAAATCCAGATGTACTCCATGAGCTGAGGTGGAGCCTGGAGTTCTTGCTGCCTCAGGGTCATTCAGGCTTAAACAAAAGAAAGGAAAAAGACAATTATCTAGGGCTCCCACATTTTCTTATCCATGTGGGGGCTGCAAGAGACACACTCCCCCTCCTCTATTCCATCTCATAGAGGATTCTTTGCCTACAGGGCTCTCGGCGGGTCTCGAGGCACCTGGGGGCACACGACTTAAAGACCTCTCAGAGTTGGCCAGCTTGGGTGGCTCAGTTGGTTAAGTGTCTGATTCTTGGTTTCAGCTTAGGTCATGACCTCACAGTTTGTGAGTTCGAGCCCCAAATCTGCACTGACGGTGCTGAGCCTTCTTGGGATTCTTTCTCTCTCTCTCTCATTCTGTCTGCCCTTACCCCCTCTCTTTCTCTCTCAAAATAAAGAAATAAACTTTAAAAAAGAACTCTCGGTGTTGGGGGCCTCTTGGATCTCCCCTAGTCCAGGCTCTGCTGGACTTTCAGGGTAATATGTGCCACAGGGTTAGGGACGGACATTCTGTAAAGTCCCTACTAGTTGAAATTCTAGAATTCTACAAATCCACTTAACATCCCCCCCTTCATTTCCCGCTGTATTGCTTCTTTTTCCAATGCTACTTAATATTTCAGGAAACCTTGGTGTTTGAAGCTTAACCTTGTGATTTTGACTATTTGGCAGAGTCTCTGAAGATACATGTCGTATGTTAATTTGAAACTTCGTTGAAGCAAAGTTTGAATTTCAAGGGCTGCAAGACTGTCTTGCCGGAGTGGGCACTTCACTGGTGCACGAGCTGCAGGCAGCCTCATCCCTGCCCGCCTCAGCCATGTGACCTCTCTGTGTTATCACGTTCATAATTCAGAATCGCTGCCACTGGCCCTCAAGGGTGTATTCTCGGTCAGACGCTGTATTCTGTGCTCCAAGTGCATGATATCATTTATTCCTCACAAAAACTTTGTAGAATGGTGTCTCATTATGCAGAGAAAGGGGAGTTCAGCTGTATTAGGTACGGTTCCCATGGGGTCATGGCACTAAGTGTCACAGTCAGGATCCAAACCCAGGTCTGTTTCCCTTCAAAGCCCGTGCTTCTCACTGCTGGAGAGATCTCACTGCTGGAGAGATCTCAGCAGTGATTCTTGCCAGGCTCAGGGAGGAAGGTTCATGGGTAGGCAACTGCCATTAGGGCAGCACAGGGTTCCTGTATTCGACAAATATTGATTGAACTCAATGTCTGGCATATTGAGCAATGTGCCAGATATTGCTCCATGAATGGTGTTTTTGCATCAGTGAACAAAGAGGGACACACAATTCGGTCCTCCTGGAGCTTTCCACCGGTGTAGACAGGCAATAAACTATACAACAGCAGACATTCTGTGCTGGAGGTTGACAAGTGCTGGGGAGAAAAAACAGAGAGAGGATAGGACATGCAGGTCTCAGAGGTGAGGTAGAATGTGCAGGAAAGAGGAGTGGCAATGCACTGGCCCGGACACAGTGCCTGGTGTGCTCATGCACATCCGGGAGGCCTGCACGACTGGGGTGTGAACCTGTGGGGTGGCTGTGAGGAGACGGGGCTGCCAGGCCACAGGCCCAAACCACGAGAGGCCAGCGGGCCATTCCACTGAGGGCAATTTCCGCTCTGAGGGAGATGGCAACCACCGGGGGGCTGCAGCAGACACGTGACTTGCTCTGATGGCTGTTTTTGTTTTTTCTTAAAATTTTTAATGCTTATTTATTATTGAGAGACAGATCATGAGCAGGAGAGGAGCAGAGACAGATGGAGACACAGAATCTGAAGCAGGCTCCAGGCTCTGAGCTGTCAGCACAGAGCCCGACGTGGGGCTCGAACTCATGAACCGAGAGATCATGACCTGAGCCGATGTCGGATGCTTAACCGACTGAGCCCCCCAGGAGCCCCTCTGATGGCTGTTTTGAATCGCTCCGGCATGTGGAGAAGTGACTCAGGCGGGGCGAGGAAGGAGGGAAGCCAGAGTCCGGGTGGGAGCCAGTTGCTGGCGCTCTGGTGGAGGTGATGTACTGGTCAGACAGTGCACACGTTTTGAAGGCAGAGCCAGCAGAACTCTCTGACCAGAGGATGCCGGGAGCGAGTTTATTTCAGTGACAGAATTTATTTAAACAGCTTTTTAAATGTCCTTCAAACTGTCTCAAAACGATCCCTAAAGGTCTAGCAAAGGTTCCTTAGATATTTTGATTATAGTGTGTTTGAGGAGGGAACCACTTGCCCCCACAAATGTGGAGATTAGCCAACCTCTTGGCTTCTTACCCTCACAAATGTCAAACATGCATATGACTCTTACCTGGTCGTGGACATGGATCGAGAAGATCCTGCTAGAATCTCCTCATCTCTGAGGAGGTGAGAAGCCAGAAACTTCCCTGGGAATAGGCTGAGGTGGTGACAGCAGCCTTCTGTGCTGGGAAAACCAGAAGCCCGTTGTTGCAAGAAGAAGGTGCCTGTGGAGCGGTGGTGGGGGGGGCATCTTGGCAGCTCAGACCCACAGATGTCTGCAAGTTTCAGAGCAGCAGATGGAAGAAGAGTCGTGAGCCTCGGAGCAATGAGGGCACTCCCAGGGAGCCCCGACCTTCAGTTCTGCCGGCCACGCTGGCTGGAGGGAAGGTGCTCGGAAAGGGCGCTGCGGTTATCTATTTGCTCAGAGTGGCCAGCACACGGAGTCCACATGCACAGAACTGTGGGTTCCCTGTGGTGTCTGCTAGAGCATTTCCAAGCCTGAATCACTCAATTCGCTTCCGGTCATGGCAGCCAGGGCTCTAGACTTAGAAATGGAAGCGGTATTCTAAATCCTGGATGGGGGTGCCTGGGAGACTCAATCAGTTAAGTGTCTGCCTCCAGCTCAGGTCATGATCTTATGGTTTTTGAGTGCAAGCCCCATGTTGGGCTCTGTGCAGACAGCCCTCAGCCTGGACCCTGTGTGTCTCTATCTCTTTCTGCCCCTCCCTCCCTCAAATAAATAAATATTAAAAGAAAATATTTTTTAAAATTAAAAAAAAAAAATTCTGGCTCTGCTACATCTTAGCCGAGTGACTGTGACCAAATCACGTAACCTCTTAAAGCGTCTGCATTTTCATTGGTACTTAAGAGTACAGGGATGCAGTAGAATATATTTGGTGCCCTTTCCTGTAAGGGGATGATACTTGTGACCATGTGCTCTGCGTCAAGCAGTGAAATGTGTACAGAAATGACACCGGACGCTTCTGGGTAAAAGCTTTGAAGAGTCAGTGTATGGCTTTGCCATGCTTTCCTCCCCTTGTCTCTGTGCCTGTGGATGTGTGGATCTAGAGGGAGCCTCCAGCAGCCTGGATTCCAGAGGAATTAGCACGTGCAGAACCCCTAGTCCACCTATGGCACGTAAGTAAGGCTGAGGCAGAAACAAACTTGCTTTACTTTGAACCTTTAAAAATGTCTGGGTTGTTTGCTCCTATTGTATAACATAGCTTGTCTTGACTGACGGAGATGGAAATGATAATCTCTTCTCCTGTGCACAGCACAAGATTGTCCTGATGATTGGATGTTGTTCTTCCCTCTCTCTGGAACCTTCCATTTCCTTCTCCACTTCAGGCGAACTCTCATTTGCTTTCGAGGTGTCAGCTGAAGTGGGGTTTCTTTAGAGAGGCCCTTCCCTGGAGCCCTGATGGGGTTTCCCTCTTCTGCTATTAGAGTTTCTATGTAGCACCTTCCTTCTTTTCTGGCCTTCGTCTCATCTATAATCCCTTCTCAACAGCCTGTCACATGGCTGTCCAACCCTGTGAGGACAAGCCCTTGCCTGCCTTGTTATCGCTGTGTCCCCTCCTTGAACAGCGCCAGGCATAAGTCAAGAGCCTGCAGACAAACGCATATGACCAGGAGAGTGCCAGCACAGTAATGGTGGCCTTCATTTTCTCTCTTCGCCACCAAAGACTCCCTTATAATATTTCTCTTCTTCCCTCGGGGGCTCCATATTTGGGAAGGTTTCTGTCCACCAAACAGACTGCATTTATACAAAGCAATTCATTTGACTATTTCTTATTACTCAAAGACATGTGTAGCTGCTGATAAGAGTTACTGATCAGCAGGAGATAATCACCGTGACCACATCAATGGATTTAATTCCAGCCCCAAGCAAAGCAAACACATGTTTGTGTTTGTGCAGCTTTACAGAGTCCTTAACAGTTGCTTCGACCAAAAGGGCTCATAATGTTTATTTAACAAGAGACCCTGAGGGAGGCAGCTCATCCGTGTCATCGAGGACTTGTCTCCTGTCTTTTGCCTCTGTCTTCCTCAGTCTTCTTTTCGTGCTGTGTTGCCTCTTTATCTGCCCAAGATGTCTCTAGCTGGTCCAGGGATCAAGATGGGATTAAGGGACCAAGCCATTCAGCTCTACCTTCCTGCCTGTAGCCTTCACCAGGGAATCAAAAGCTTCCTCAGAAATGCCTCCTCATGTTTCCTTTGTCACAACTGGATTGCATGGTGTCTTCCAGCTGCAGGGGATACTGGGAAAGTGAGTATGTAGCAAAGGATCCTGAAAGTCCTCCTGGACCTGGCATATGGGCATCCTGGGTGAAGTGTGGGTCCATCAGCAAGACAGAAAGTGGGGAGAGTGGCTTCTGGATAGCAATAGAGTGTTTGCTGTGTCTCCGGTAGGTAATGAGAGGTCATGGCCACATTACCTCTTTCTCATTCATTTAGTCAAGGCCACCCCTTTAACAGATGAAAAGAATAAGCACCCAACATGGGTAACATCCAAGGTTCCATCTTGCTTTAAGGGCAGATAGGGGTTAGAATATAAGTCCTCAAGATCTCTTCACTCTTTTCAAGAGTGTAATAATCTAAAGGGGCTCATAGCCCAGGCAAGTGGTGTAGCAGAAGCAGAGGGACTGACCTTGAATGGCTGTAGGGAGGTGGCCTGGATTCTGTCCCAATTTCCACCTTATCTAGCCTATCTTTGGGCAAGTTAGGTACTCAGTTGATGGCTTGGTCTTGTTTCAGCCATCTTTATTTAATCTGACTTTCCAGATGAGGAAATTGGGACCCAGAAAGGTGAAGTGACCTCATCAAGGTCAGACAGGTGTAAGTGGCAGGGCAAGGCTGGAGAAAAGTAAGAAAGCTCCTGACTTCCTGTCTGGTGCTCCCTCCCTGACAGACATGTTTGGAAGAGTTTCAAGTGCTTCCTGAGTGAGGGGGTAGGGCCGCGCATCCTCTCTGTTATTAGGACATGACAATTCACTGAGTTGGGAGGGATCATTGACCAGTGTTAGCTATTCAGTCATGGACTTACAAACTTGACTTTCAAGTTGTGTTTATAAAGTGGCTCTTGGTAAGTGAATAAATCTGGACTTCATGCATTATTGCAAAAACTGCCCTTGCCAATCTGTGAATTTACCCACTACTGTGGTAACAAAGGATGATGAGAATAAGGACCATCTTGATTTTTAATAAGAATAAGGGATGCTAACCCTGGCAGTGATTCCCTCCAAGGTACCATCATCCCAATCTCATGGAGAGAGATTTTTAAAAAATACAGATTTCAGGACTTCATCCCTTGGAATACCCGGACAGGTCCTACAAATGTGTATCTTCACAAAGTTTTCTCAGGAGATTCTGGTAACTGGCCTAGTATTTCAGTTGCTGAGTGGACAGGATGGGATTTCTTGAAGCAGCCTTTGGACATCTTTAAATTGTGGCTTATTTGCTTCTCTTTCAGACAAAATGTGTGTTAGCACCAAATGGATGGATATCATTAAGTGATGACCAGATGGCCCATGCCAATGAACTTCTCAGAAGCACTATTAACCATGGGAGTGCATTTGCTTTTGCCTTAAAATATATAATTTGAAAAATATGTATTGTTCATTATTTAGGAAGCTAAAGGTAAACATTGGACACTGTTAGTATTCCAGTCAATTAGAGGATGCTGTCAAAACAACATTTTAAAAATTACAAAGACTGGGGCGCCTGGCTGGCTCAGTTGGTTAAGTGTGTGACTCTTGATTTCGGCTCAGGTCATGATCTCACAGTTCAGGAGATTGAGCCCCATGCCGGTTTCTGCACTTAGAGTGTGGAGGCTGTTTGGGATTCATTCTCTCCCTCTTTCTCTGCCCTTTATCTTGCTTAAGCTCTCTCTCTCAATCTCTCTCTCTATATCTCTCTCAAAATAAATCAATAAAATTTAAAAAGAAAAGACAAAGACTGAACCCATGAGATGTTATCAATCATTATTTTAGATCAGTAGTTCTCAAGAGGGGTGAGAGGTACGTTTAATAATGCCTGGAGATACTTTTGGTTGCCCCACTTGACAGGGGTTGTGGGTGCTGACACCTTGGGAGTAGATCAGGATGCTGCTATACATCCTGCAATGCACATGACAGCCCCTCTCTCCCAACTAAGAATGATCTAGCCCCCAATGTTGATAGTGCTGGTTTAAGAAATCCTGTCTTAGAGTCTCTGACTCAGGCTCGAATATAATTCCTTCATCGCTAATCTTTTAGCTTGGCATCTGTCTATGTATACATGTGTGAGTGTGTGTGTGTGTGTGTGTGTGTGTGTGTGTGTGTGTGTGTGTGTGATGGGAACCAAGACCTCCATGATTCCAAGACATTCTTCTGTGGATTCATGTGCGTACCTTTTGCCATCTTTAAGCCCTGCTGGGGAAGACTTCCGGGGACTCCTTCATTCATGTGTCCTCCATAACCACGAGGTGAACAATTGTCTCCTCTGCGGGTTCCTGGAGCTGCTGAGACCCCAGGACCGTAGTGTGGGCCTTGGGCTTCCCAACCCCAAGGTGGATCTCTAGCTGTCTCGGACTCCTCATCTCTCCACTCTGCTGAGAGACTTCGCTCCTGCCTCGTCCTCTCTGCCACAGTCGGTATCCCCTGGCCGTCTTGTCAATCGCCCTCTATTGGAAAATACTTTCTCTTATGTTAGGAAGGCTCAGAAGCTGCATGGCAGAGTCAAAGTTGCTCTGCATGGGGAGGCGGGAGTCTCAGGCTGGAGCCCACCTTCACCACCAACTTGCTGTGTGACCTCAGGCAACTTCTTTCCCTTCTCTGGTCCTCACATTACCCTCTGTGTAATCAATGGCTAGTTGAGAAGAGTTCTCAGGTCCCTTCCTGGTCAGACATGGAGAACTCTGAAATTGGCAAGGTCTTTCCCTCCACACAAGGACCCGCAGTTTGACCAGACAGAACCCATCTTGCGAGCCACACCTGCACCCCGTGTTTTTTTCCTAAATGCTAAGAAGAACGTTCAGGCTTATCATTCTGGGCAGAATCTCACACCCACACTGACGGATGTCAATTTTGGCATTTATTAGAATGCCAGTAAATCTTGAAAACAATAAATATCTCATTACTTTGCTGATGATGTGTCTTTAAGTGCTACTTGAAAATGCCTGTCGTCGCTCTGTTTGATTTATAACAAGGACTGGTTTTAATCTTGCAGCCTTTCATCTTTTGCAAGCACCTTGTTGAACCCTAATCACATTTCTGTAACTCCCTCAGAGCAACCGGTGAGGAGGCCACTATGGGTATTCCAGGGATGATGTGGTTTGGAGTCTGATTCCCTGACCTACGATTGCCAGTTGAAATGACACAGACTTTGAGGTCCGACAGGCTCCGATTAATATCCCGTGTCCCATCGTCTCACGGAGGGCTGGGTCATCTTGGACAAACCAGCATAGCCTCCATTCGCCCCAGTCTCCTCGCCTGTAAATGGGGGATCGAGGTTAAGAGGGAATGAATTGATGAGTGAACAGCACCTATCCTGGTTTCTGGACTAGAAGAGAAGCTCTGACGATGGTGATCTATTAAAATGATTATTACTTCGAAGAAAGAACCAACTCAGAAAGCCCTGGAGGCCAGTGTCAAGGGCTGTACATCAATTCCTCTTCTGTTTTAATACTGAATTAACAACCAGGCAGGGGGAAAAATGGAACATTTAAATATTTAAACCAAACATTTAATTTTTAAACATGAACATTCTTTTTATAACTTGGACTGCTCTTCAAGGCCTATGGAAAATTCCCCAAGCCTCTGCTATCTGCCCTCCTTCTGGGGTGTGTGCTAGAGAACACTGCTAATCTTGGATGCCTCTGAACTTGGCAAGAGATGGTACATTTGTTTTATTCTGAAAAAGGCGCATTTGTGTCCCAGTGAAGATATTCCTGACAAGTTTCTATAAGGAAAGAGAGGCTAATCCCTGTTCCATAGAAATGAAGCTGAATCTAACAGGAAGGGAATGGTTTCATGTGACTCTCTAGATTCGTGCTCTCTACCAGACCCAGTTCCAACCGATATTCATGTTATCACTTTCAAATTACACCCAAAACAAATCCCATGGTGAGGCTTTTGCTGTAATTGTGTTTTCGTCCATAAGAAAGTGAGGTTCAATAAGGCTAACCAAGGACCCCAGGGTCATGGGTACTACAGAGTGGACATTGATACTTCCACATCCTCTTTTTCTTGCAAGGGCCCCTGATTTTTGCATGAAGATCCACTGTCTTCCCCCACCCCAAGGTTGTTGCTGTTGCTTGTGGATTTAAATCCACCTGTACTTTGCGTGGGTCTCATGACGCTGTTGCTCACAGTGGCCACAGCCACGGATTATACATGTGGACCAGTAGAGTCCACATAGGTGCATCAAGATGTCCCTAGGATCCTGGAAGAGGACATTGATGCCCCTCTTGGCAGCCTTACCACCAGGAAGGGAGATCCTGCTGAGGAAGAAGCTGGTGGGAGAGATTATAACTGGTCTAGTTCAATCTCTGAGGTCATCACTTCCCTTTAAGGAAAGAGGTTTGGGGGCACCTGGGTGGCTTAGTCGGTTAAGCATCTGACTCTTGAATTTGGCTCTCAGGTCATGATCTCATGGTTCGTGGGTTCGAGCCCTGTGTCAGGCTCTGCACTGACAATACAGAGCCTGCTTGGGATTCTCTCGTGCCCTCACTCTCTGTCCCTCACTTGTTTTCTCTCTCTCAAAATAAATAAATAAAACATTTTTTTAAAGAAAAGGGGTTTCTCTCCTCTTAATGACTTGTCATGTAGTCATATATTGCTTTCACCTCATTAATTAATGCAACAAACTCCCATCGAGCACTGATTAAGTTTGGGGTGCTCTGCTGTAGCCAGGTGTATCCAGGCCACCCTAGGTCTCACCCATCTCTGACTACAACATGTTTCAACACTCTCCATTTGAGCACCATCTGCTCAGCCCTCTTCATGTGGCTTTGGTCTCCGCCAAAGATCTATAGGCCACCACCACTCTTGGGGTGCAGTCCTCCTTGAGGCTGAACAGCACAGATTCCCATCTCAGCCCTCCTCCTTGGGTTCCCCCTTGAAGGGTAGCACAAACACCCCATTGCTGCCACAGGGCACTGCTTCTGGGGTCCAGAGACCTAAATCCTGGCTTAGGATCCCCAATGCTGCTGCTTCCCAACTCCCTCCTAGATGCCCTACAAGGCAGGGGAAAACTCCCCCAAACTTCCAGCCAACTTCTTCTTAAGCACCTTCAGGCGTCTCTGCATCTCCTAGACCCTTGAGAGCACTAAGCATAGTTTTCCTGAGAGCAATGGGTGGATAACCACCTAAGCCTGCAAATCCATGAAGATCCTTTCAGAGCCAGGGGCAGTTTGCCCCAAACACAAATTCAACACTCTAACCTAGAAGGTAGGAATCATTCTGAATTTGGAAACTGGATTTGATTGCTTCTAAACAAAAGTCAAAAGAAGAAGTAAACTAAACCAAACAGCAACAGACATGAGAAGAGACATAAGGCAACTGCATGACCCTGTGGTCCAGTCCCCACCTTTCAATGAGACTTGTCCCTCTTGTGACCTTATCTACACCTTTCTTGCAAGGTGTCCCCCCAAAGTGGTGTCCAACATGTAGGCACAAGTCTGCTTTCTGTGAGTGTGGCTCTTTCAGTGCATCATTCTTCCTTTCCTGCTATATGTCAGTTTGGTGCAAAAAGTCTTTGATCTCTGCCTCCCCCAGGGAGTTTTGGCAACTCTCCAGGCCTTAATCACATTGGACCTTGATTTTGTCCATGGCTTTCCTCTCCTTGAGCCTCAGTGTCTCAGGAAAGGGCCATCATGCTGGTCTTGGGAACCCTCCAATGGGCTGAGCAGGATGCTGGCTATTCTGGATTTAGAGGCAGGAGTCCGAGATTTGTGTCCCACACTCCAGCTTTTGTGCTGTGTGACCTTGGACAAGCCACCCACCTCTGGAAACTCCACTTCCCTCAGCTATAGAGGTAGGATAACATCACTGTGGCACAATGCAAGCCAGCCACTATTCATACTTCTCCAGAGTCATGCCTCGAAATGTGACTTTGCAACTTTTCCCTTTAAAATTAGAGTCCATTTCCCTACCCGTTGAGTAGGGGCAGCACTTTTGCCTTGCTTTTGCTAACAGGATGCAGTAAAAGAGACAGTGCACCAGGTAGGGGCTTAAAGTTTAAGGAGCCTTGCGTGCTTCAGCTAGTTCTTTTGGACCCCTGCTTCTGCTGTGTGAATAAGCCCACGCGACCCTGCTGGAGGAGGAGAACCATGTGGAGCAGAGGTGCCTTATCCCAGGGAAAGTTATCCCAGGCCAGCCAGCTCCCAGCTGACTCTGCAGCCCACTGGGCTCAAAGGGGAGGGGGATCTAATAAGACCAGAAGAGCCAGCCACTGAGCTACATCCAGTCCAAATGGACAACTTGTAGGTTCATAAGCTTAATAAACAGTTGTTGTTGTAAACCATTAAGTCTGGAGTTGTTTGTCATGAAGCAAAAGCTACACTCACTCACTTCTCAGATGATTGCATTAAATGAGATAATATGTGTGAGTACTTCATAAACTGAAGCATTACCTTCCCCGTCTCCCCCCCTCACTCTCAGGTATCTTTGATTATATCAGGGGACTCATGGTCTCCCTTTCAAACCCTCATGGACAACATCTCTGAACAGAGGGAGAAACAGCTACAGAAGCAGGGTGA